CCAGGAGAATAAACTCAGTCACAGCTGTGCAGTTTTTCTTTAGCATTGTGTTTGCTCGGCTTCTAATGAGAGCTAAATACAAGGAAATAAAAATAAATGAATTTGGCTTTTTTCATATATCCATTACCCCCATGGTGTCATCTGATATGTCTTCTTCTTCTCTCAAACTTGTAATTATACATGCCATAAAGAAACAGCCTCGTAAGCATGTGATTGATGTTTTAAACATCTAAGTTAATATAGAGCTCCTTATATAAAAAGGCAAGCATATTTGAAATGGTTTTCTGCCAGTCTTTTCTTCAAGTCATTTTAATTTAAAAAGCCTTGTCCTTTATCCTTTTGCAAGTCTTCTTCATATATGTTCCCTTACACTTTCCTTGAACATATGCATTTAAACATCACTTATCTTTAAAATTGAAATTCTTTGTTTTACAATACACCTGTGGATATGATCTCTAAAGTATCAACCATTGAAACTCATCTACATTTTTCACAGCTGGATGAACATAGAAAAGTTGAACTGATATATGGTGCACATCCTTAGGGAACAAGAATCTCTTTATCTGCCCCTCTGAACCCTAGATAATGTGCAAACTTTTTCCTCACCATGTAACACATGCCCACCTGAGGTAGTCTACCTCAGGTGGCCTTCATATCAACAAATTATTCTTAACTTTTAAGACTCAGCTCAGGATTCTTTTTTTGTTTGGTATATTTCTACCTTTTGTTCCCCAAGGCATAAATTGGCTCTTGGAGAACAAAAGTAAATCTTGAAAAATATATTTTTATGTGATATATATATATACACACACACACAGAATACATAAACAATATACATATACATATGTAAATGAGTATCACATACACATGTATTCATGGTATAAATGTTTATGAGGAGACAATTAAGGAAAAAATAGTATGTCAAAAGGCTGGGGAAGTGCATAATAATGAAAAATTGGTTAAGAAACATATCCTAAGACAAAAATGATTTTTAAAAATCTACCTCACTCTAACTCTTGCAAAATTATTAATAAGCCAAACATTATAATGTGAATTCAATATAAGTTCTTTAAAACATGTAACATCATAGTGAAATAATAATCATATTAACCATACATCTGAGACTGTACTTAAAATATCATGAAGTTTATCTCTTCACATTTAGGCAGGATAAGTGTGACTATGAAGATTTTTATGGGAGGATCGAAATTCTCTTTCAATGACACATATCCAGATTCCACAATGTTATAGTGACTCTTTTTTTTAATAACTAGCACATCAACACTAAAAACAGATCACTTTTCAAGGTACTTTGTAAATTCCATGCACAAGAATCTAGTCTATTGTATCATCCCATTCTGTACATGAGAACTTTGAACTTATTGACTAAAGAAATCCTAAATCAATGGAATCAAAATTATTTTGTGCATTTCTTTCTTTGAGCTAATAAGGCCCATCTGAATTTTAATAATAATTTTAATAATAATTGCCAAATATAAAAATATTTTGGCTAAAGAATGTTATTTTTAATTAGCTTCTATTTATTGAAATATTAATCAAGATTCAAAATAATTAATATCTCCATCTTTTCACTGTGGGGAGATGAAGTCATACAAACAATGAACAGTCCAGATAGCTTAATTGAGTATTTTAGGGTAATAGCCTTACATCTAAGAAAAAGAACACAACATCTTACTGATTTGAGCAAGAATATTCTAGACAGAAGCTTTTGTAAGTGGACAGAAGTGGCTTTGGGGACATCTGAGGCTGTTCCCTCCTGATATCTTGCCTTACCCCTACAACGTTCTAATGTAAATGCCGCTGCCACTGCTCCATTCTCCAAAGAGTCCAGAAGTTTGGTCTTCGGCTTGCACAAAAGTGGTGCCTGCTTGGCATGTTGTCAGGTTCAGTTTGATGGGGAAAAATAAATTTAGAGAAGGTTCCTACCTAAAATGTATTTTTCATTACTTTGAAATAATTAACATCTATGACGAACCTAAAAGTGGCTCATTCTTTATGAAAGGGGTACAGAACATTACATGATATAATGTCAGTAATGATAAAGAGCATTGTTAACTCAAAAAGAATCAGAAAGATTATTTAATAACATGCCTTTTTTTTTTTTCTTTTCATCAAGAAGCTAGAAAGTAAACATGGTTGATTATTGAGTATCAGCAGAGTATAACAATCAATGACAGTTTGCAGTCACATTTCCTGGATGGGAATCCAGGTTCCTCTAGTTTCCTGCTTTGTGGTCTAAGACAAATGATTAATCGCTCTGTGCTTCACTTTCCTCATTCATAAAACTTGGCTAATAACAGCAAATCCCTCCCGATGAGCAAGTTAATACAGAGGACACTTTTGAAGTATGTCTGTTTATAGTAAGCACTTAATAAGCTGTGACTAGTAGTATTATTTGAAGAATGATACAGGCCTGGTCTACAACAAGACTCAACATCAAAGTGAGAGCTTCTTTAGGGACAAGGATGTTACCTAATCTGATTGTAGACTCAGGAGTACCTTGATTAGTGCTTTTCCCATTGTAGGCAGTCAATAAGTACTGATGAAGTTAATGTTCTCTTTGGTCTAGTTAACATATCATTATGTAAACACTCCATAAAGACTATTCTGTAAACACCCGTACTCTCAGAATAGTAGCATTTTCATAGGGACGTTTACTGATTCATTAGAATGTATTTCAGCTCAATTTATTTTTATTGACTAAAATGTTTATTTCTAGATTCCAAAATATTTTTGAAAGGTCTAATCCTACCTGAGAAAGAAGAGTGATTTCAAAATGACAGAATAGATATGAAGTACCTGAAGAGTTTATAACGGAATTGACATATGAGGACCAAATCCCTATGGTTCAATTATTTCTAGCAAAAATCCAATCAAACTAAGAATAACCACTATTTTTCCATTCCTGTGAAAATCCTAAGTGCATTGAGGGCATCAGTTTTGCCCACTCCTCACTGTCGTCAGGGAGTCAAATCTCCTGAGATGGAAGAAGCAATGGGATTCATTATTTATTTTACTTTACTCTTGAATGACTTAATACATTTTGTCTTGGGTAAATATTAAGTTTCATTGTTTACAACCTATAAGATAGAATAGTGTATGGCATGGGGGAAAAGTTTTAGAGTCTGGAAAATCATTGGAAGTTCAATTAACTTTTTCTAAACTTGGACTAGTTATTTAATGATTTTGAGCTTTGTACCTTCATTTTTTTTTTGAAGGGATGAAAATTGACAGCTACAGAACATCGTGGGTTTACAGATGATATTGATGTGCTGGTGACTCTCCCTTTACCACTCTACTCCCATCCAGATCTATTGTCTTGTCTTTTCTGCCTTGTCTTGTCTACCTGGAGCTCAACCCCTGTGGAGTGCATGATTAGAGCTTTCTGGTGTCTGGTTTCCAGCTGACTTTGCCCATGAGAGAAGCCAGCAAGAAGTCAAAAGTGGGAAGGAGAGAGAAGTACCTCAATTTCTTTCTCATTCACCTCTTGCTTCAATATAAACAGGAATATGTGCTAGGTATATACAACTATATGTGGTAGAGTGCCTGCATTCCTCCAAGGAGAACTCGTGCTGGAGCATCTCTGAGCTACCCTTATTAGCAAAGTGAAATTATGTACAATCAATTTCCCGAACAAGAAAATGATTTACATTCATTTACTCTAGGCAGCGATGCTTAATATTAATGACATAGGAACTGAAAGAAAAAAACTTATCTGCTAACTAATCAAGTAGGACTAAGTTCTTGAGTAGGACTAAACACATGATCCTGCTTAATTATAAGCAGCTAACTTCTTTTTTGATGGCCTACTATGAAGGCATGGAGATGGATACAAATAGGGTTCTTTTCTGACAGAGCTCCCAGACTATGTTAGCAAACATTACACTGTATTATGATTTGTTTCTGTGATTAAGATCTTGTTAAAGTTACATTATCTGTAGAATCACAAGAATATGCATGTGTAACTCTCTGCTTAGGGAAGGACAAAGGAGATAGTATTTGGGCTGTGACTTGAAATATGAAGATCTTTACAGAAAAAGAATGACAGGATAGACAAGACCACTGGTCGAGCAAGAAAATCATGTGTTTTTAATATGCAATATCTGAAAAGCAAACTAAAGAAAGATAAAATTATAAGATTTATATTTAATTTCTCACCAAAAACACTGAAAACAAAATTATTTCTTACACACTTTTAAGTGACCACTTTTCTATTTAGATGACAACTAGTCTTCTAAGGAAGGACATATATTAGGTTCATACAAACTATATTTTATCCAATCCCACCAGCTGAAAACATTATTTTTCACATTGTCTGTGATCACTGTAAAGAAATCCAGTCCTGCTAAAGTGACATCTCAGTTAAGGTATTGGTCAAATAAACTGAAAGATTTGAACTTGTCCAAACCAAATTGCAGTAACCAGTAAAAGAGATATGTATGATTATTTGCCAAGGCATTAGGGAAACAATGCTCATCTTGCTCTAGCTCTTTAAGGTTAAACTATTTACTACACTACCAGCAGGATTTAGTTCTGGTACTTCTCTCTGGTTCACCAGGGGCATGACATAGTGTCTAAGCCTTGTTTTAGTCCCTCAACATAATCTAGCTGAGCCTACTCCTCACGCCTTTTTCTCTGGCAGTTCACCATCCAGTGAAGGAGCTCTCAAACATGGAAGAAGATGGAATTATTCATTTTGTCACTCAACCTTTCTCTGTCTCAGCAATTCTAATCTTGGGATTTATGCTGACGAACAAGGTGTCAAAATGTAATATTTGGTTATTTTTGAGCATTTGGATTCTGTGAAATAAGTGGGGTTTATACAAAGTGACCAGACTGTCCATGATGATTGGAACATTTGGTCCAACTCCACTATCAGAAAAAAGCTCATGCCAGTAAAATGGAGCCAGGGTGAATGCAGGTGGATTTGGTCACTGGTAAGTTCCTGTATAGTCCTAAAATCACATGGCTTGATGATTCTAAGTAGAGAAGTGGAAAGAAGTTGTTTGAAAAATTTTACTTAAGGAAGCTTTGACTTCCTTGTTTCTCAGGCTATAGATGAGAGGATTTAGCATGGGGATGATCACTGTGTAAAACACAGACACCACTTTGTCTTGATCCATTGAGTAGCTGGAGCTGGGACGCAGATACATGAACAAGATTGTCCCAAAGAAGATGGTGACCGCCGTCAAGTGGGAAGCACACGTGGAGAAGGCTTTGTACCTCCCTTCTGCAGAATGAATCCTCAAGATGGCAGCAAGAATGTAGAGGTAGGAAACCAAAATCATCAGGAGGCAGCTCAGTTCATTAAAACTGGCAAAAGCAAAAATGACAATCTCATTGATGTGTGTGTCAGAGCAAGAGAGTTTCAGGAGAGGTGGAGTGTCACAGAAAAAGTGGTTGATGACATTCGAGCGGCAGTAAGACAGCTGGAAGGTGAAGCCAGTGTGAATGGCAGCATTTATAAAGCCTGCAGAATAAGTAGCCAACACCAGGAGGGAACTGAGGTGGGGGGACATCAGGACCGTGTACAGGAGAGGCTTGCAGATGGCCACATAACGGTCATAGGCCATCACGGCCAACAGAAAACCCTCAATGCCAGCAAAGGAGCCAAAGAAGAAGAATTGAGTGGCACATGCATTAAAGGAAATGACTGGGTTGTCCACCCAGAAATTCACCAGCATATTAGGGGCAATGACAGAAGAATAACAGAAGTCAACAAGAGACAAGTTACTGAGGAAAAAGTACATGGGAGTGTGGAGACGTGAGTCGATCTTGATTAATAGGATCATTCCAAGATTTCCTACAACAGTGATCATATAAACAACTAGGAACACCACAAAAAGAAGACATTGTATTTCTGGATGATCCCTGAATCCCAGGAGAATAAATTCAGACACTGTTGTAAAGTTGCTCATATCTTGTCTCAGAATGGATTATTTATTTGCTGGCATAAGAAAGAAACCATGAGAGACATGTTAATCTGATTCACTATAGTAACCATTGTATTACTGGTATATATTAATATCTACTGCGTCTATATGTATCCCATAATATCATGTCATGAACCTGAAATATACACAATAAAATTTATTTAAATAAAAGAAAAAAAAACAATGAAATGAATTATACAAAAAAATACCTGGAAATTAAATAGTTCATTCTCTGCTTAAGATGACTTCCAAGATGTTCTGAAAACATATGTATTGCAACTCTTTATTTTTCTTACTGAAGGAAAGGTGAAAAGATCCCTTAAGTAAACATTAAGTTATTTTTGAAAATAAATATGTGTGTGTGTCTGTCTGTGTGTGTGAGGGTTTGTTGATTGTTACTATTTGTCCAGATCTTACTTTACCTCCCAACTTTTCTTTCCTCCTTTCTTGATCTTACTGCTATCATCAGATTCCTTTGCCATCCCCTTAGCAATTAAACATATTGACACAGTTGACTATACTAGCTGTATTGAATTCTGCATTTCTTGTTTTCTCTTAGCCCTTTATAATCAGGTTTTTCCTTCCATCACTCCTTGGAAACTGCTCCTGTGAAAGGCATCACTGGTCCTCATATTGCTAAATCCAATGGTGAATTCTCAGTCCTCATCGTACTCAATCTGTCAATAGCAGTTGACATAACTGACTGCTTACTTGCCCTTGAAAGGCTGCTTTCTCTACTATTCCAGGACATCAGGCTCTCTGAGTTTTCCTCCTCCTACATGGGTCAGTTCTCTTTCCTCTTCTCTCTGACTCCTTATGTCAAAAGAGCTCAGAGCTCTGTTTTGATCTTTCTCCTTTTCCATTTCCACTCCCCCTTGGCGATATTATTCTGTCTTAAGGTTTTAAATAGCATCCATATGCTTATACCTTCTGAATTTATATTCCCAGCCCTGTTTGCTTTTCCAAACTCCAGACTTATAATTCAACTGCTTACATTTCCACACAGATATCAGATAGCAACTTAACATGACCAAAAGTGAATTCCTAGTGGCCTCCCCTAATTTGTTTTAAACATAGCATTCCTCATATGAAGTCAATGACAACTCTATACTTTCATTTGCTCCAATGAAATTAAACAAATAGACAAATAAATATTGGATAAATTATTATTATTTATCTTTCTCACACAGTCCATAACCCATCCATTAGATTATTCTGTTGGCTCTTCCTTCAAAAGAAGGAAGATCCAAGTACTTGGCTATCTCCAGCCAAGTACTTCCTACCACCTTTATTTCTACCACCAAGTCTTAGGTCAGCATCATCTTTTAATTAGATTACTGTAATAGTTTCTTAAACTGATCTTCCTATCTCTAAAATTAGCTAAAATCCTACCCTGTAAATTATCCTCTTTTAAAATCACTTTTAAAATTTTGCATACATTTTTGAAGCTTTTTTATACACATACATACATACAAACACAATAACATTATATATGTAATAAATGCATAAACTGGCAAAATGTGTTATATTTCTATGATATATATGATCCTATGTGTATATATGAGAGAAGAATCTTATTTAGCTTTAGTAACTCTGTTTTTCCTGCAGGTGCACATAATTCAGGTTTATATTCAGACAAATATATATGGAGTTTCCCCTCATGTCAGGCATTGCAAAAAAGCCATGGCTCATGCACACATGGATTTACAACAAATTTAATAGAGGTAAAATTATCCTTGCTGCATAAAACATAGATTTGGACTCAGAGATAGTAACTTGTTCAGTGTCATAGAGCAAACACAACTGAACTACAAGATCAAGGCTGAAAATTGATATCAATTTCTCATTTTATACATCTAATGACCTCAAATTATTTTATTTACTACCCTTCAGGAAGAATTATATATGTCATGTGTTTTGGCACTTTTTATACACAAAATTAATTTTTTTTCTGTTTTTCATACCATGGACATTCATGAATATGTACATGTATGCATGAATTTATGCATGTATGTGCATGGATATGTTTAATATTATACAAAAGTTTTCATTATTATATAATGACCCTAAATCTCTCTCTTCTAAAAAATACATATTCATAGTTTACTTGATAACATTAAATTCAGTGTTTCAGATATTCAATTCGAGAAATTCTGTCTGATTTTCTTGAATGTTTTTTAAGTCCTCTTGAAACTTTATACATCTAAACAACTTAAGATAAATTAAATCATCTTACCTTGTGTCCTTAGGAAATGTTCACTGAAGGTAGTGGTATATATCAGTTTACTTTTGTTTTATTAATTGTTTTGTGTAGTAATACATGTTTTCTGTTTCCAACAGTCAGATTTGTAGCTTTGAAAAATTATGCAAGTGCCATAAAGGAATCTGATGGAAGATTTATCTGTGGTCAGTTAAGTCGACACAGGGTAGAATGTGGTGCTTCTTAAGGCAGAACATCAGGCTTATTAAGGCTGTGATCATTCCCTTGAGTATTAGTCGCTGCAAAGCACTAAAAAGTCTGAAGTCTGAAATATGCTAAGCCACAATTAAGAAGTTCATTCATTTTTCACTCAGACAATTGAACTACCTTTTCCCCAGGCAACCACTTATACCTGGGAGAGTATCTTGCAAATTTGGAAAAGAACAAAATGTATCTTATGATCCTGAGGCTTCATTAAGAACAGCACTAAATTAAATGTTACAGGATTGACCAAATTCTGAATCCAACCTTCAGAATTTCACTTAAAATATAATACAATCTTTATTCATTTCTACTAGAATATGGCTCTCACTTCATTCATTAATTTGTTCATTCACTCAAAAGATATTAGTACATTTGTCTCGTGAAGCAGACGTTATCTGTGGTACTGGTAGAGTAGTCAACAGAGTTAATCTTGTCCATTCTTTCAGGCAACGAACTTGCAGTCTGGAGTTGGGTGGAGACAACTATCACATAGTTATTTGAAAAAATAAAGTACAAAACTTTTTTATTAACTGCTAGGCCTTATGTGAGCTGGCACTTTTTCCAACATCTTCCTGATTGTAGTTCTTTCCCTCCTTTACTTTGTTCCCACTGGTACACATATATTTGTCTCCTTGCAATTCCTTTGGCAAAACGAAGAGGATGATGCATCAAAGCCTTTGCATTTACTCTGTGTACACTCAGAAAGCTCTTCCACAAACACTCATACAGTATTATCTCTATTTAGGACTTGCTCTAATGTTGTTATCACAGAGAGCTCTTCACTGACTCCACCCCTCCCTATTCCATTGCCTGCTCAATTGTTTTTAATATCAACACTCATATTCATGTCAAATGTACACACATGCACACATGTATAATAAATTCTATACAGGCAATAAAATCTTCCTTACTTAAATATAAGTTTAATGAGACAGAAGACTTTGTTTTTCTTACCTGCTATACCTCTAGTACATGTTACTGTGCACATTTCTCAACAAATATTTTTGAATGAATTATGAGTGAAATCATAAAAGGTGTCCATTTTCTTGCCCCAAGCACAAATTAAGGAAGTATAATAAAAACTAAAAACGTAATTTGTAACTTAATATGGAGAAGAATATTTTAAGCCCAATGACATATAATTCTAAAATACAGTTCCTCCTGGTAATACAAAAGGACAGATTATATCATAGGAGTCTGAGTATAATAGCTAAGTAAGGAAAACTAATTTTTTAATCCTTTCATAAGTCCAAAGTCTCTAGATGCCAGGCTGTTAATTTAATTTATGAGTCTGGAATTTACTGCATAACATCTCATACTGTATAACAGCTAAACACAGTCTATAAGGAAACAGTAGAGCTGGCACTGGAACTTACTAGTTATGTGAACTTAAACATACCATTTCATTATCATGAGCCTCAGTTTATTCATTTCTTCCTTCCTTCCTTTCTTTCTAACATACAAATATTATTTGTGTTTATTTATAGGGTACAATATGATGTTTTGACCTATGTATACATTGTATTAATAGAAAGATTCACTAAAGCTAAATAACATATCTATCACCTCACCAGCTTACCATTTGTTTGTGGTAAAGATGTTAAAAATTATTAATTTAGCAATTTTGAACCATTCAATACATTAACTGTGGCCACTATACAGTGCAAGAGATCAATAAAACCTATGTCTCCAGGTTTTGCCTTTGATCAACATCTCCCCTTTCCTCGTCCCTCTTCCTTCCCCATTAATTTCCACTACCTTTCTACTCTCTGTTTCCAAGAGACTAACAACGTTTTTAGATTTGATGTATAAATGAGATCATGCAGTATTTGTCTTCTGGTGCCTGGTTTATTTCGCTTAGTATAATGTCCTCCAGTGCTATCCATATTGCTGTGAATGACAGAATTGTCATCTTTGTAATGGGTTTGTAGTATTCCATTGTGTTTCCATACTAGATTTTCTTTATGTGTCCTTCCATTGAGGGACACAGGATTGCCTTCATATCATGGCTACTGTGAACAAGGCTGAAATAAATATTGAAATACAGATTTTTGTCAACACACTAATTTTAATTCCATTGGATATATATGCAGAAGTGAGATTGCTAGATCATATGGTAAATCTATTTTTAGTTTTTTGAGGAACTTTCATACTATTTTCCCAAATGGATATACTGATTTATAGTCCTACCAACAGTATACAAAGTTTCCTTTTCCCCACATCCTAGCCAGCACTTGTTATATCATAGCCATTCTAACAGGTATCAAGTGATATCTCATTGCAGCTTTAATTTGCATTTCCCTTATAATTATAGATGCTGAGTATTATTTTCATATATCTATTCCCATTTATTTTAAAAATTTGAAGAAGAAAAAATACTTTCAAACTCCTTTTTTGAGGCCAGCTTTACCATGATACTAAAGCCAGGAATGGACACTAGAAAAAAAGATTACTACAAGCCAATATGCCTGATGAACACAGATGTAAAAGCCCTCAACAAAATATTAGCAAACTGAATTCA